CCCTACAGAAAAGATACAATGCTCCAGAGATTTTGAGAGGCCTGGATCCACTTTTCTAAACTTTCTAACTCTCCAATAGTCTGTAGACATCATACAGATAACCCCTTTTTATAGCATGTAACTTATTTACAGAATATAACAGAAGAAACTATGCTGAATGGACCCCATCGCCTTCTTTCTAACATAAACCACTTGACTCACTAAGTGACTCATTAACCAACTAACTAACTAACTAGGATTACTTATTAAATTACAAAGATCCTAATTAAATAAGGAAACAAATCATATAATGTCAAAGAAGGATAAATCTTAAGAGATCTTCTAGAATACTCTAAAATATTGTAAGATATAAAAATGATACCCTAAGATATTTCTCAGATTTTCTAACATACTCTTTCCGCTAGATAAGGATTGAGGGTAATAGCAATGTTTTTAAGCCTCTGAATAGGGCTTAACCTGATTTCAATGGTTTGAAGTTGTCCTCATGGATCTCATATATGCCTCTGCAAATAATTTTTAATTTTCTGAATCTGAATTTTTGGAATGCTTAATGATAGGTTTATACACTACTGATAAGCCTGTTTCTTGTTGCATGGCTACATGTAATTGTTCTTTTCTGTGAAAAGCCATTTGTTTAAAGTCTACAAAAAGCACTTTTATCATGCTAAATGCTGTTTCTTCCATCAACAGGAAATCATCCGCAGAATGCTTCTATTGACATTGGATGATCCTCATAGGAAAATTTGCACAGCTATTGGTATGGCTGTGGCTTCCATTGCTGTGCATGACTGGCCAGAGTTGTGGCCAGATTTGTTGCCATTTCTCCTGAATTTGATTAACAATCAAACCAACTTCAATGGAGGTACACATTTTTGTGAGTTGATATTTTTTTGGGATTTTCTATGTATGAATGATTGTGGATAAGCTTTGGGTGAAAAATGGGCTCCATTTTGTAGAGAGTAGATCATAGAAAGCCTAAACATTATATGACAGGAAAACTTTTTTTATCCCTGAGTTTAAATTGTTTGCTTGATTCTTTTCTTGCATGTTCTATAACTATGCATAATCACCCAGAAGTTTCATATTCTAGAATCTAGATGACAAATCAATGAAATAACTAAATTTGGTTTGGATGCTGGTGACTAGTTGATTCATCATTTACTTTCTCTATTAGGTTTTCTGGAAATGATGCTCCATAATTGCACTGTTTTGGGGTAACATTGTTTGATGGAATTTCTGTATGTTAATAAACTCTCTTATCTGTTTATCTTTTAATAATTTTATTCTAGTGCATGGAGCTATGAGATGCTTGGTTCTTCTCTCTGCGGACTTGGATGATAAAATGGTTCCAACATTAATACCTGCTTTGTTCCCGAGTTTGCTGACAATTGTATCCTCTCCCCAGGTTATACTTTGATATTTTTCTGTTAACATTCTTTTTATCCTGTTTTGTTTTTCTTTTGGTGTATTTTTTTGTTTTTTTTTCCTCATTTAATTCTTATTTCTTGGTACAGTTTTTGAGGATTTCTTATCCTCTTGCATTTGTTCCTCTGCTTTTTTTGTTCTCAATACAATTATTGTTTATAAATAAATGTTTTCCTTTTTTTAAGTTGATTGGTTTAGAAGGAAGAATTAAGCTGCTATTAAGAGGATTGTTCAATGCATTTAAGTGCATTAGTTAATGCAAAAAAATGTATAGAATTTCTTGAATTTAATTTACTATTTTCTAGCTGGTGTGTATGATATTTTTATGAAATTATAGGATTTAGGTAAAGAGAGAGCATACACTCAAATATTAAGTTGATATGGTGTATTATGATCAGTGTTGTTAAATGGCGGTTATGGCGGTGCCGTAGCAGTATGGTGGCCGCCGCCGCGTTCCATTATGGCTGTTTGGCCTTTATATGGTGTGGGTCCGCCATTTTGCATATGGCAGCCGTTATGACGATAATGGCATGGTGGTTTACGGCGGTCATGGTGTCTATTTTGGGCTTTTTTTCTGAGTTAAGGCCTGGGTCAACCAGAGTCAGATTTTTTTTTTTTTTTTTTTTTTTCATTTTCCTCACCTCTTCTGGTTCACGGCGAACAACCCTAAACATCTGAAACTCATTTTCCTTCGTGCAATGTCAATTGCGCGCCTCCTCTGACGAGTTCTACCGCCTCCAATGCGACCACCACTGGGTGTGATTCTGCTCCTTATCCCTCTGCGCGATTCGCCTTACTGCTGCTAAAACCCTAAAACTTGGTCTCCTTCGTGCAACGTCAACCGCACACCTCCTCGAGTTCTGCCGTCATTGGTGCCGCCGATGCGACCACCACCGTCTATGATAGGTCCTCATCTTTCTTCTTCGCACGATTCTGCTCCTTGTCCTGCTCGAGCACCCGCACAAGCGACAATGTTAGGGGCAAGTAGGAGCATCTACTAATCCTTCTAAAAGAGCCAAAGGAGTAACTTCAAAGAACAAGGGGAAAAAGGTTGAAGTTGTTGAAGAAGTTGAGGCATCAGAAGATTCTAGCAGTGAGGAGGAAGAATTAGTGCCAAATGCTAATTTCATACATTTAGATGGAGAAGAAGCTCAAGGATTTTTAAATTAGCAACAACATCATCATGTGGAAACTAATTATGCAAAAATTGATGAGGATGAGGAGGATTAAACAAAATAGTTTTAGGACTTGTCATTGTGTTTTGCTGTTTTTTATTGTTGTTTCTTTGTTTTGATGGCTATTTAATCCTTTTGTTGGTTAGGAATTTATGTCTTTTTATGATGACTATCACTAGATTATGAATGCCATGAATTTTAGATTGTTATATTGTTGGTTTTAATATGTGTTTTGTATTTTTTTGTTTTTGCATCATATTATATATATATATACATATATATATTATGAGGGAGGTTATAATTACACCGGTGTAACTTTTACTAAGTATTACATCGCTCAATAACTTTATATTAAATGCGAATTTTGTAAATCCAACTGTTAGATTGAAAGTTCATATATCTTAGATCATATATACAAAATTTTATATTAATTCAAAATGATTTGATACTTCACTTTTATAAAACAAAATTGACGTAATATATTCATTACAAAATACACTAAAATATGAACACTTTGATTACTTTCAAGTTGTTGTTCAATTTTAACAAATTTTGATATACACGTATAAAGTGATATGAACTTTCAATCTAACAGTTGGATTTACAAAATTTACAATTAATATAAAGTTATTGAGCGGTGTAATACTTAGTAAAAGTTACACCGGTATAATTATAATCCCCTTCTATATATATATATATATATCATAGTAGTCAATCCCGGATAGCGGAGCGGAGCGGTTGACCCTAAAAACGGGATAGCGGGATGACGCGGAGCGGTATAACCGCTATTTTAATATTAATTTATATATATTAAATAATTAATAATATATATATAAAAGCTAAAAATAACAAAAAATAACTCTAAATTCATGTATTAAACATTTTTAATAATTAAAAATTCATAGTGAAGTAAACAAAATAAAAAAATTAAGAAAACAAAATATTTAAGGTCTTATATTAAATTTTTTATTACTTAAAATATTATCTGAATTAATAATAAAGAGAAGTTATTTTAAAAAAAAAATAGTGAAGTAAAAGGCCCTTAATCAAATTAAAAGATAAAATAAAACTTGGCCTATTTGGCCCATTTGGCCTAAGCCTAATTATTTTTCCACCTAGAGACTCAAGCAGCCGTCACCACTCCTCTTAGAAGAAGACAAGACTGTAGATACCGGAGAAGACTGAGCCACCATCGGAGAAGACAGCGCCGCTGTCGGAGAAGACAGCCGCTGTCGGAGAAGACAGC